GGAACCGAGCAGCACCTCCCTCCTTGCCTCGGCGTCCCCACCCTTCCGAAGCTCTATTCTTGGGCCCCCTTTCTCCCATCTCGAGAGGAGGAAAATGAGGATGATGAGGAGGTTGAGGAAAAGGAGGAGGGTGAGGAGGAGGAGGAGGAGGAGGGGAGGAGGAGGAGGAAGAGGAGGAGGATGAGGCGCCCCCCTCCGCGCTTCGGCGCCCCCCTCCGCGCCTCGGCACCCCCCACGCCTCGGAATTCTGTTCTCGGGCCCCCCCGCGCCGCGCAATTTCGCGCCCAGACTCGACCGACGCCCCCCCCCCCCCCCCAACCTCCTCGCGGTGTGACAAAAATCACGACGAGAGGTATTCCACGATCTTCGGCCTCCAGGAGCCTTTCCCGGGACTCGGGACCGTCAAAAAACGACTCTGGAGGAAAAACCAGTCCCGGGGAAGGGGTCCAGACCTCGGGGGGTTGACGCCCGTCGGAACTCTATTCGGACCCCCCGCCCTCAATTTCGCGCCCGGAAGCGATCGTCGCTTCCCTCCTCGCCCCGGCATCCCCACCCCTCGGAAGCTCAAGACTTGGACCCCCCCACCTTACAACTTCGCGCCCAGAACCGACCAGCGCCCCCCTCCTGGCCTCGGCCCCCCCCGCCCCTCGGAACTCTACTTGTCGGACCCCCACTCTGCAATTTCGCGGTTGGAGCCGACCCGCGCCCCCCTCCACGGAGCGCATTTCTTTTATCGTCGGCGATGACGGGCGTCACTGGGGGGGGGGGAAGGGGGCGGGGGGGGCATGACGTAACGCCCCCCCCCGCCGCGCGGCTGGCTCCGGTACCACAGCCGCGCCCGCCCGTGCTGATTGGGAATGCTCATATGTGGCGTCTTGCTTGGAGTGCCACCACCTCTGCTGCTGCCGACACAGTCGTCGTGCCGCAACCGCGCTTGCCGCAGTCGCCCCCGCTTCCCCTTCACATGGAAGGCGGTAGCTGCTTCTGCTGCGCTGATGCACGTAAATACTTCGAAGTGATGAAATCCATACTGTGCCTGTAAAACAAAGGCAAACAACAACATTGAACCATCACTGTTAGAAATATCGCTGCATCGGGTGTGACGGTATACGTGGGCCCGGGTAGGTTCGCTACGCCCTACGCGCGCAAGAACCACGCTGTAGTTGAACATGTTCGGCGTAATCCGACAATCCCTGAAGGTCGGGAGAAAAGGTGTTCAGACCTGGCCCGCTTCTCCAGAAGCGCCCGCAAGGAGAAGGCGGAGGACAGTGAGGAGAGAAGGAGAAAGGAGAAGCAGGACGAGGGGAGAGGGAGGAGGAGGAGGAGGAGAAGCAGAAGGAGGAGGAGAAGGAGGAGGACCAGGAGGAGGAGCAGGAGCAGAGAGGGAGGAGGAGGATGACCAGTGTAAACTCACGGCGCATCAGCGATGATGGAACGAACCCTCCCTCCTCAAGTTCCCTCTTCGTAGGCCCCTGCAGGAAGATACTTTCCTTGCGGGACGTGGCCTATTAGAAGACAGCCGTCTGAGACTCGTCCCAAAACCATTTCGGGAACCTCAGCGCCGCAGATAAACGTGACTGTTGCGTCCTGTCAATCCTCAATCGTGCCAGAACAAAACTCATGGTACTTCAACACCGCGAATCAGAGTGCCTGCTGTGTCTGGACAATCCTAAATCGTGCCACAACGCATTCCTGGGCCTTTCGCCATACGATTCCTTGAACCTGTTGCACATGTTCAGGGCGAATGTGCGCGGCGATAGGGTGAGAGCCACATTTTGAACAAGAGCCGCCCACCATCGTTGAAACTGCTACAACATTAGAAAACGAACGCGCCACATTTTGAAAACGACCCGGCGCTGAGGCGAACCTGCATCATAAAACGACCCACCCTCCATCCGCGAGACTGCCGCAACTGTTTCAGACGGGTGTGCGCGGCGTTAAGGCCATACACCCTGCGAAATGCTTAAGAAATCATGGGTTAAGAAATTCATAGTCTCAGAACTTGAAAAAAAAACCCAAAATTCCCATTCAAACATTAGGATTTACATTGAAACATTAAGAATCATCGAGACTCTGGCCGCTGGCCGAAAATTTAAGTTTTCTTAAGCATCGCCCAAGGTGTAACCACATTTTGGATACGAGCCGTCCTCCATCCGTGAAGCTGTTGCGAATGTCGAGCGTCAGGATCACGAACGGTGAGAAGCCTCAGGCGCAACGCCCCGCCCGCGCTACCGACACGTGTTGGGGTGTGACAGGGCGGAGTTGTACCTGAGGAAACTATGGAAGAGGAGAGCTAAAGGATGATGACGAGGAGGAGGAGGAGGAGGAGGAGGAGGAGGAGGAGGAACACTCAGATGTCGGTGCAAAATGCCGAACCATTGGCGTGGGAGGGGGGGTGGGTGGTTCCGATTTCCAAAAAGCCCCCCTCATGTGTTTTTGCCAACTATCGGGAGATTCTCCTAGGGGAAGTGGTCGCCAAGCATCACCATGCCTTCGTTCGCCCCATAGTTTTGTCAGTCGTTATGGAGTTGGCGGGACCAGGGCAAATGGGGGGGTCCTGGTAGAGGCACAGATCTTGCCTCGCTAAATTCAAGGGTGACCCTGGAGTTCCTGAAAAGCCGATGCCGCACGGCCATCCTCTTATTCTCTGATTTGAAGGATGCGTTCTACAGGCTACTCAAGCAGTTTGTAATAGATGCAGAGAAGCTCGACGAAGATGAAGTTATAGATTGACTGACGGTACCAATTAGCCTTGTCCCTGCTTTCTCTGCGATGTTGCGACAGCCGGCCCTCTTAGCTGTCAAGGCGCCTGCTCAGTTGTCTGACATGCTCGCCGAAGCTGCTGGCGTCACCTGATTCGGCGTGCGAGGGGCTGCGAACATAGCTATCCCCCGATGCGGGTCGAGGGCGGGAATGCCGCTCGGAGATTTGCTATTTATCGCAGGCTTCGCGCCTGGTCATGCTAAGGTGCACCAGAGGCTTACAGCGGAGCGTCTCACGGTGCCAGTGGACGAGTATCAGGCTGAGTTCGACCGAGTTGATAAACCTCCTGGGTGGTTCCCTCTATTTACAGGCGTTCGTGACAGCGAAGGAGAGGACCCTTGTACCCAGGGCGCTGCTTTTGTAGATGACATGATTACCATTACCTCCCCAGGGCAAAACTCGAATTGGTACGAGGCGGTTATGTCAATAGGTACTGTGGTGCACGAGGAGCTGATAAAGGCAAGTTTCACGCCTAACTATAGCAAAGGAAAAGGTGAGCTCATGGTTGTTTTCGCGGGTGAAGGATCAACGGCAGCCAGAGTCGAATACGAAAGCACACCCGAATTCGAGCTAAGTATGTATGGGGTCAAGCTGCGTAAGACAGACGCTTACAAGTACCTAGGGTCCTCTCTCCACAGGGGAGGCTCGCGGGGACCCGAGCTTACGCTTAGAAATCACGACTTGTCTGCGGCCCTGGGACCTTTGAGGAGAACGGTCTTCGGGCTTCCCAGTCTTGACAAGAAGTCAAAGCTCAAGTATGCTGTTGCTTTGTGCTCGTCCCGTTTCCTGTGCCAATCATCCCTATGGGGTTTAAACGACAAGCCGCGGATGCGAGCCGCGGGAGGATCTGTTGATGCCTATCGAGCGGCGCTCAAGCCAGAGTTCTCCCCGCCTCCTGCCCCGCGCGCCTCGACAGACGAAGTGCTACTCAGAGCAGGGAAGCCATCACTTGACCTCGTCTTGCGTCTACGCCGCTTGCGTTTCCTCAGCCGGATGTGTCGCAGTGGTCTACGCTCTCTACTCATCACTCTCGATCTACTCTCGAGGGTGCCAGATCCTTGTTTGGAGCGACCTATGCTGGCTCACAGACCACGTCACGCTGCCCCTCACCCACTCTCCCCCTGGCAATGCGTCCTGGTGGGTCCGTTTGTCTGGCGAGGTTCGGATGTGGAAGCGTTTGCTGAAGTCGGCGGAAGTTGGGGCCACGAGAGCCGAGCTCGACCTGGCTAGGCTCTTTCTCTGGAGAAAAGACCTTCGTGAGCAATGCAGAAGTACTGGTGTGCTTCCTCCCCCCACGTGCGCAAATCTTCCCATTGAGCAGGTTTTCGTGTGCCCAGAGTGCGAAAGTGGTTTCGGCACGGTAGGCGCGTGGGTGGCGCACAGGACAACATGCCATCCGTCGCTAGACCTGGCACGAAAGGTGGCAGCAGGATCGATGTGCCAAGGGTCTTGCAAGCAATTCTTTACAAACCTCAAGCTTTTAAAGCACCTACGGCACGGCTCAAGCAGATGTCTTCCGTCCCTACTCCAAGTGCTGCAGCCCTTGACTGAGGAGCAAATTCAAACGCAGCGGGCCGAGAACGTCGAGATCGCGTCTGAGCTTGCTTCTCGGGGGTTGTACGCAGAGCAGGCGGAAAAGAAGTCATATCGGAGCGTCGGCCCAATGCTGCGAGGCGTGACAGATGAGCGGTGGAGTCGCCTCCACCCCGTTGGCCGCCCGGCAGATCAGTTTCAAGAGCCCACTTTCCCGAGAGCGAGTCCGCCGCCGAGTGTGCCTCCGCCTGAGCAGACGTTACGTTTTTCGTGCTACACCTTTTCTCAGGCCAAAGGAGAAAAGCCGACGTGCATGATTACATCGATGCTGAAGCGAGAAGGTGCGGGTATGCTGTCATAGTCCTCAGCATCGATGTGCCAACGATGAAGTGCGAGGTAACTTTGCAAACAGAAACTCAGTGCACGACCTTGTGAGTTTAGTTTTAAGCGGACGAATATGGGCTGTCTTGGCGGGCCCCCACGTGCGAAACGTTCTCACGTGCACGAGTGCGCCCGCCCCCACGCCGGTCTTTGTATCCAAGGATTATAAGAACGCCTCAATTATATTGACATTGCCAGAGTCAGCCCTCATCAGCTTTGACCAATGCGAATTCGGGGCCCAGAGTGTCAAACAAACCTCCTTGACCCTCCGTCTCCCTCTCCTTGAGGAAACAATATGTAGGATGCCCAGTGGGGGTCGGTGCTCACATCAATTTGGGCACCAAGCGTTGATCGGCCTCACGGCTGCAGGTGGCTACAGGACTGCAGCAACCAAACAATATCCTGCTGACATATGTAGAATGATAGCAGGAGCCGTCATTTCAGGCTTGCCCCCCTCTCCTCTCAGCAGTGCGAAGATGTTCGACCAGATGCAAGCCAGGACCCCGCATTTGCTACCTTTTTTCGTCCCGTTGGACCCCTATTGCGAGGAGCACCAGTAGGGCAATTTTCACCACGATCGAGCAGCCCAGCCGTATCAGTCGGTTGTACGTATACATTCTCATGAAGGTGCTTGACAGTGTTAGCATGCGTGTTTCACTCAGAGTGCATGTGTCCACAGCGGTCTCGAACCCCAATGGCAGTGGGAACAGAACATGAGGAGGAGGAGGAGGAGGAGGAGGAGGAGGAGGAGGAGGAGGAGGAGCTAGGAGGAGGGACGAAAGGGTGATGGAGGAAGGTACAGGGAGGGTAGCAGGAGAGAAGGAGGAGGATGAGGAGTGAGGAGGAAGAGAGAGGGAGGAAGTGAGGAAGCAAAGAGGAGGAGGAGGAGGAGGACGAGGAGGATGAGAAGAGGACGAGGAGAGGAGGAGGAGGAGGAGGAGGAGGAGGAGGGGAGAGGGAAGGAGGAGGGGAGAAAGGAGGAGGGGAGGAGGAGGGGGAGCAGGAGGAGGAGGAGGAGAGAAGGAGGATGAGGAGGAGAGGAGGAAGAGGAGGGAGGAGGAGGAGGAAGAGGAGGGGAGGAGGAGGAGGAGGAGTGTAGGAGGAGGAGGGGAAGAGGAGGGAGGAGTAGAGGGAGGAGGAGGAGAAGGAGGCAGGAGGAGGAGGAGGAGGGGAGGAGGAGGAGGGAGGAGGGAGGAGGAGGAAGAGTGAGGCGGAGGAGGGAGGAGGGGAGGAGGGGAGGAGGAGGAGGAGGGAGAGGAGAGAGGAGAGGAGGAGGGAGGAGGAGGAGAGGAGGAGAGAGGAAGGGAGGAGAGAGAGGAGGAAAGTGGAGAGGCAGTCGAGGAGGAAGGAGGCGGAGCACGAGCCCCGCGCTGACTGGTGCCAACGCCAACCTGCTTGATCCCGCGTAGCCTGGCCGCCACGTTCTGCCCGAACTGGTTGCCGCGGGTGGGCAGCCCGGCCCTCGGGCCTCCTCCTCCACCTCCTCCCGCTCTCCTCCTCCTCCTTCCTCCTCCTCCGCCTCCCTCCTCCCTCCTCCTCCCACTCCTCCTCCTCCTCTCCTCCTCCTCCTCCTCTCCTTCTCCTCTCCTCCTCCTCTTCTCCTCCTCCTCCCTCCTCCTCCTCTCCTCTCCTCCTCCTGCCTCCTCCTCCTCCTTCTCCTCTCCTCCCTCCCTCCCTCCTCCTCCCTCCTCCTCCTCCTCCTCCCCTCCTCCTCCTCCTCCTCCTCCTCCTCCTCCCCTCCTCCTCCTCCCTCCTTCCCTCCTCCCATCCTCCCTCCTCCCTCCTCCCTCCGCCCTACCTCCCTCCTCCCTCCTCCTCCTCCGCTCCTCCCGCCTCCCTCCTCCTCCTCCCTCCTCCCTCTCCTCCCTCCTCCTCCTCCTCCTCCCTCCTCCTTCCTTCCCTCCTTCCTCCTCCCTCCTCCCTCCTCCCATCCTCCCTCCTCGTTTCCCCCCCCTCCCCCTTTCCCACCCCCCCCCCCCCCTGCCCCCCCCCCCCACCCCTCCCTCCTCCCTCCTCCCTCCTCCTCCTCCTCCTCCTCCTCCTCCTCCTCCTCCTCCTCCCCCCTCCCCCTCCGCCCTCCTCCTCCTCTCCTCCCTCCTCCTCCTCCTCCCCGCCTCCTCCTCTCCTCCTCCTCCTCCTCCGCCCTCCTCCTCCGCCTCTTCTCCTCCTCCTCCTCCTCCTCCTCCTCCTCCTCCTCCTCCTCCCCTCCTCCTCCTCCTCCTCCTCCTCCTCCTCCTCCTCCTCCCTCCTCCTCCTCCTCCTCCCCTCCTCCTCCTCCTCCTCCTCCTCCTCCTCCTCCTCCTCCTCCTCCTCCTCCTCCGCCTCCTCCCCTCCCTCCTCCTCCTCCGCCTCTCTCCTCCTCCTCCTCCTCCCTCCTCCCTCCTCCTCCTCCTCCTCCTCCTCCTCCTCCTCCTCCTTCTCCTTCCGCAGGCAGGCACGCCGCTCGCATCCGATTCGATTTCGGTGCTGTGCCGATGCAGGCCGATCCTGCGCACATTCCGTTTCGATCCGATTGCCCGATTCGATGGTGATTGATCATGCGACGACGGCCGACGACGACGAGGACGGCGACGGACGACGGCGATACGCGCGCTCGAGCCAAATCAGGCTGTCCATCTGCCCCTACCCTTTGCAAGGGCATGCGCGTCTTGCGCGCAACCGCGTCGGCTAGGCGGCTGTTCGAACAGCGCGTTTCCCAGTCATCCGGTGGTGTTGGGTTCTCGTTTCGAATCCGCACCGCCGCGCGTTCTTTCTACTGCTGACCCCAAACCCTTGCCAATTTCGGCACACCGCTCAACACGTTTCGTGGACCCACAAAGAACTCCAACTCACACGTTCCGTGGCCCGATCGGAAATGTCACCGAAAGCCCAGATGCCAGGGCCCGACTGGCGTCGCCCCGCCCACAGCAGAGCCCCACCGAAGGCCAAAACGCCAGGGCCCACCGAGCCGCCCACTTCCGCACACCCCTCGCAGGCTTCGTGGCCCCAAGAAGGAGAGCACCACCGACGGCTCAAGTGCCAGGGCCCGCGTGGCGTCGTCCCGCACACTTCTCACACGCTTCGTGGCCCCGTGAGGAGCTCCACCGACGGCACCAGTTGCGGTGGCCGCGTGCCGGCCGCTGCTTGCGGCACACGACTCGCGCATTTCGTGGCCCTCCTCCTCCTCCTTCATTTACACGTGCGTGGCGGCGCTCGCACCTGCATGCGCTTGGGTCCTTGTCCAGGATACTTTTGCCCCCGCCTTCAGCAGAAGCGCCTCGAGAAGTCACCTTCAAGGCATCATGGGCACGCCATTCTCCGAGAGCGCTTGTTGAGGGGTGAACGTCGGTGATGGCTGAAGCTGCCTCGACTCTGGGCAGCACCAACGCTTCTGGGGTTCCCGCGATCCGCTTCTCTGCTGGGGTGTGCCCAGGATGGTTGGCGAGTGGTGCTTCCCCCCAGGCATGACACTCCTGTAGCTGCTCCCTGTGCAGTCAACCCTTATCATAAGGACGCACGATAAGGATGCAAAGGCCTCGGAGGGCCATCTCGGAGTTTCGAGCGGAGCGCGGCCAACGAAAGTGGCCAAGGATGGACCGAGGAGGAAAGGATGCAAGGGTACCCTTGGAAAGGTTGCCTATCCTTACCATGAAGGTCGACTGTAGGCACGCATGCTCTGGTGAATACCCTGGGGAAGGCCAGGGCGTGACCTCGCTTTCCGCGGGCACCTCAAAACCGCCGCCTGCCCTCCCGGCGTCCCCCGGTGGCTCCTATAAGGGGGCCGCGCCAGCGCCTGGATAAAATGCGACGTCCACGTGGGGAAAAGCACAACGTTCCCCTCGTAGACCTGGTGGCTAAAAGTCTTCCCGTAGGGCGGGTTGATGCCCCGCGGATCCTTCCCTCCGCTTCAGAAGCGGCTCCCTGCCATATCGCGCTCCTGGCTGGCCCCCATCGGTGGCCCTCGGTCTGCCCGGCCGTGGAATCCAAGGTCGCGGGTCGACTTTGAACGGCTGGCGGCCCGCAACGCACTGACTGCACAGATCATGCCGCCGACACGCATCTGGACGTCAATGCAATCTGGACGCCAATCTCTCTGACTCTCTCTCTCTCTCTGTCCTGCCCCCTGCCACTCGTAGAGATCCGCCACCGTACCTCGAGGCACGAACTGAAGTGTCCTCGGGTCCTTGGGGCGATCCGTCTCCTTTGGACGCCCGAGATGGGCACGGAAAGAATGGGTACAATGCCCAACAACAAATGTTGTCCCAAACCAACAGCGGCCGCCGTTGGGCAGGCGGCCCTCTGTCTCAAATGGACACGGGCCGCGGCGGCGTGGACGACGAGTCCTGTTCAAAATGAACAAGAACTGCTGTTGGCATTTTGTACCAATTTGTACCCATTCTTTCCGTACCCATGTCGGTCGTCCCGATCTCCAGTCCTGGGGATGTCCTGCCCCCTGCCACTTGTAGAGATCCGCCACCGTGCCTCGAGGCACGAGTTGAAGGGTCCTCGGGTCCTTGGGGCTATCCGTCTCCAGTCCTGGGGATCGAATACCTAAGGGCCCGGGCCTCAAACTCGTGGGCGTCCCGCGTGACCTCGCTGCTGTCGCGTGACTCTTTCGGAGCCTCGAGGGCCCCCAGCCGGGCAAAGAAAGGCCCCGAGACGGCCCGAGACCGCCGCAAGATGGCCAATACGGTGACAGCGTTGGATGAGTAACCCTGAAAATCCAAGGTCTGGAAGCTGGTGCGCCAATAGAGGCTTGGCCATGGATCCGCCACCGTGCCCCCTCACGTTGAGGCGTGCTGGAACGCCAAGTGCTGTCCGGTGGGGTTTCTGTAATCTTCTAAGGGCCCCCCCACCTCCGGCCGCACCTCGTCGCGCGCACCGCCCCCTCTTCCCGAAGCTCTGTCGGCGCCCAGACACGTCCCTGGCGGTCTCCAAGGCGCTCAACATCCTCAAGATGGCTTCCACGACGGACCTGGGAGGCCACCAAGGCCGCCAAGATGGCCCAATATGTCTCCAAGACAGCCGAAGATAGCCCCAAGAAGCCCCGAGAGCGCTCCAAGAGGACCCCCACGAGGGCCCCGAGAGGCAAACATCAATCATTTTCATTGTGTTTGCGAAATGTTTCACGTTATCCCCTTTTCCAGCTTCCGACGCTCAAAGACGGCTCCAAGAGCCCCAAAAGCAGTCCCAAGACGGCCCAAGAGGCCCCCAAGAGGGTCCCTAGACGGCCCAAGAGAGCCCCAAAACTGCCCAAGAGGTGCCCAAATCATCCCAAGAGAGCCCCAAGACGGCCCCAAGAGGGGCCCAAGAGGGGGAACACGAACCGATAATTCCAGCCTTCCGCCCGAAGAGGCCCCAGGAGACCCCAAGAGGCCTCCAAGGAGCCCAAAGAGGCCCCCAAGAAGCCTCCAAGAGGCCGCCAACGGCCCCCAAGGAGTCTCGAAACTGCCTCCAACAAGCCATCGACTCCCACGAGATCCCAACGCTCATCATGATGCTGATCATCATACATAATCATCATGATCAGCATCAGCATCAGCATCAGCATCAGCATCAGCATCAGCATCAGCATCAGCATCATCATCATCACATCATCATCATCATCATCATCATCAGCAGCAGCAGCAGCATCAGCATCAGCATCAACATCATAAACATAGCATAAACACCATCACCGTCACCAACCACCACCACCACCATCCTCATCCTCCCCCTCCTCATCACCACCATCATCACCACAGACTTCATCATCAGCAGACGCATCATCTTGATCATCATCATCATCATCATCATCATCATCATCGTCAACTTCATCATCTTCACAAACACCATTATCACAATCATCATCACCATCACCACCATCATCATCACGATCAGCATCACCACCACCACCACCACCATCATCATCATCAGCATCAGCATCAGCATCATCATCACCATCATCATCAGCATCATCATCACCATCATCATCATCAGCATCATCACTATCACCATCAGCATCATCATCACCATCACCATCAGCACCACCACCACCATCATCATCACCACCATCATCATCATCATCATCATCATCATCAAAATCAGCATCGTCGTCATGGTTATCATGATTTTCATCCCTCGCAAGTGCGGCCTCTGGTGCCCCCTCGAAGAATTGCCGCCGAGCGTGCTGGGCTGGCACAGTGGCGGGACCTGCAGCAGGCAGCTGGACATCACCGCCTCCTTCGTCAGAGAAGGAATCCTCCAGGACCTGAAGCTTATGTTGCTCCCACCGTACTCAAAGACCACATCCCAGAAATAATTTCGAGCACCCGGAAAAGTGTCGAAAGAGTCGAAAGAGTGTTGAAAGCGTGTCGAAACAGTGTCGGGCGAGTGTCTCCCAGGGTTTGACACGTGGAAACCCTCGAGTTTCGGTATTTCTTTGGCGCTGGAAATCCTTTCTGGTGATCAAGGCCAAAGTAGGTTGGAACATCAGAACCTGAAGCGTCCTGGGCAGCCGCACAAACGCCCCCACCGCACAAACATTAGAACCTGAAGCGTCCTGGTTGATCATTCCTCCACGAACGCCCCCACCGCACAACCTCAAGGCTGCCCCGGAGGCCTCCGAGGCGCTCCCCACGAGGCTCGGGGCCCGATGTCGGCCAGCAGAGGCACCCTGCAGGCCCTGCCTGCGCGCCTCTCACTGCGCCGCGTCCTCCTGCTTCGGCACCTCGTTTGCCATCGCCTTGCCGCGCGAACGGCTAGATCGGCCTCTGGCTTGTCGGAAGCTGACGTCGCGGCCTTGCTCAAATGTTTGCGCTCTCCGTCCAACCGGTTATGTGCCACCTCTCCTACTCGTTTTATTGCCCGCCATCCGTTCGAGACGTGCGCCATACTTCTTACATGCCACAGTGTGTTGTATACTCTGTATCTCGAGGTCTACGGTACAACGAGCGACACGATCAGCCACACTCGCCCCACGCACGCCATGCAACATCGGTGCCGCGGCAATCGTTGACACCAAGCGCACACGGGAGGGACATCTCCCTCACCTCGAACAGCAATTGAGCCATACTCTCGCGGCCGCAGGATTTCGATGGCGGTGCCAGGGCCCTCGTGTGACCGGCGAGAGAACCAGAACAGCCCGACTCGACGACGCAAGCGCTCGCCAGAGTCCCTGGCTCCAATGCCCCCGCCCCGCCCGGTCCTCGAAGTTTAGCTTCAGAGCGCCTCGTTTGGCCGAGGCGAAGTATCTCCCCAGCAGGTAGGCTCCGTCGGTGCGCGCACCAGGTCTGAGAGCATCCCCCTGTGCCAGCGCGCTGGGCAACACGGAAAAGAAGCTAACGTAAACTGTCGGGCGCCTCCATGTGGTAGGGACGGGTGAGGAGGGATCTGCAGGAGGGAATGAAGGATGATGATGAGGGGCAGGAGGAGGAGGAGGAGGAGGAGGAGGAGGAGGAGGAAAAGGCGGACGAGGAGGAAGAGGAAGAGAAGGAGGACGAGGGGGAGGAGACGGGAACAGAACATGTGTCCGCCGAGAGCTCGGTGCAATGGAACGCGTTTCCCTGCGAAAAGTGCTCATGTACATCATCAAACGTACCACCAAACCAGTATCAAGAACACATTAACACATGTCCTAACTGAGCTTGCCTACTCATCAAACCCGTGCTTCTGGCACGGCATGGAGTGCAGAACGCTTAGGCAATCCCAATTCTATCAGCCATCTGCGCTGATGTGATTCCGCGCGTGTCCTCTTCCATCCTTCCCCTTCTTTCCCTTCGGGGACGGGTTGATCACTGTTCCTTAGTAATACGCACGCCCTCCCTCATCTGGCCAGGGGCAAACCCGTAATCATGACAACCCCA